GGGCCCAGAACTGAACACAGGATTGGAGCTGTGGCCTCAGCAGTGCCCAGTACAGGGGGACGGTCACTGCCCTGCTCCTGCTGGCCACACCATTGCTGAGCCAGGCCAGGATGCCATTGGCCTTCTTGGCCACCTGGGCACACCCTGCATCATGTTCAGCTGCTGTCTAATGAGAAGAGTAATTATGCATTAGAAATTACAAAAGAATTAAAAGTACTCAAATATTTTTCTGGAGTGTCTGCAATGTATGTGGGACACATACAGTGCACTCTGTTGTAATACAAGAGAAAAGTTGCATTGGCACTCTTTTAGTGAACCTCATTCATTTTAGAAACATTCTGCTATTCATCCAATAATGTGTCAAATACAAGTTGGGGCTGATGAGATCTGTATAAAAGAAGAATATTTGTTCTCTCCTATCCTGTAAACGTCTGTCTGTGGGCTCTCAAAGGCATTTGACTGTCAGATGAAGCAACCCCTGTCGTATTTAGCTTTTGCCAAGAAAATAATGAGAATAATTAACTGGGGACTGAATGACTTGTTTGCTCACCCGACTCATCCCCAGGATCTGCATCATCTTGGATCTTCTGCTGTCCATTTCTATTTAGCTCGAGAAAACTTACAATGGTGTTTGGTAGTTTTCCAGCTGGTTCCTCTATTCAGTTCTGTGCACTTCATGTCATGAATCCCAAACAGAGTTACACTATGCAGACTACTGATATCCTTAGCAGCTGGATTGGGTACGTATGAGGCTTACTTTCACAGCTTTAAAGGTTGTATCTAATCAGTCTAACCAACACTGTGTCAGGGTTTACTCAAAGCTCTGCTTCATCTGAACAGAAGAATACTTGAAGAACCTAATGGCATTTTTTGCTGAGCTGTGCACTTCACTATCTAGATGTTGAAGGAAGATGTCTTTCAAATTCTCAAAACGAGTTGGTTTGGTACACAAGTACATTTGGTTATGTTGTCCTGACCTCAGGAATAGTCACTGAGGCAGAGAATCTTCCTTTTCACTTCAGGATCACTACATTATAGACATAAAAAGAATATGGCCATGAGGAGCATGAGGAAAGTAACTTTTAAAGCTGCAAGGGGAACACAGAAGCACTATCAAATTCTACCAATAAGTTGCATTGGGAAGTTGCATGGGGAAGTGCTACATTAAACTTCAGGAAAAAGAGGAAACTGAAGATCTAAAAGGTGTCATTTTTGTCATGTTGAAACACTTTTCCTTAGTGCTGAATAAAATGCAAAATGCCTCCAAGCAAGTTGCTTACCCTACAGCTGAAGTGCTGCACATGGAACCAGTTGCCACTTTGGTATTTTAGCAGTTTAGAACTTATAAATATGTATTTGCATTTTCCGTGCTAAACTATGTGGCTCTTACCCAGTTGTCTCTGTCACTGCATCAGCCAGGAAACCAGTGGTAGTTTGCTTCACTGAGCACTGTATGAAATGGTCTATGAGAAGGAAGTAAATGTAATGGAAACTGGAGCATGTGAAGAACGTTAACATCTTAACACAGAGTACCCTGTGCTAGGGATGATGTTTAGCACCAAAGGGCACCTTCCAGACCCCTTAGTTCCTGAGTCCTCTCAGTGGTGGGAGCTTGTCTGTGGGCCAGCAAGGGTTTGTGCAGCAGGTCTCAAAGAACCTGTGAAAATGAGGATTTCTTCGGAGGGAGGAAGAAAAAAGGCAAAGTGACTGTTTAACTCCCTACACTCAGATACTGATGAATATTGTTAATCACTTGAGGAGAAAACACAAAGAAGGACAACAGATCTGAAGGGCCATGTGTGAAGTACTTGCATGTGAAGTCATGCCTGATTCATGTCCTAAGGATTCATGCCACAGACTTCGATCATCAGACTCCATATCTATTTCTATTAAAAGAAAAAAGACAAAAAAAAAAAAAAAAGACAAAAAAATGAAAAGAAAGAAAAAACCCAAGAATCAAGGGAAACAAGGATGACACGCTGAAAGCAGTGTCCTGGCAGAGGTTGTCCTGCCCCAGTTAAAAGCAGCGTGCTCAGCCATAAACCTGTGCCCCCTCTCAGAGCAGACACCAGCTTGTGCTGCCTGGGGCCATGCTCAAAAGCTCCTTCATACCTGTGGAAGTCTCCCTAGTTTCTTCAGTGAGTCCTTGTTTAGGCTGCATTCAGACATTTAAAAGGATAAGGTTGTAAAACATGTCATAATACAGTGAAAAGATAGAGTAAAAACTACCTTAAAATCATTGCCTTTTAAAATAAGTTTTTTTTGAACAAAGGGAAAGTAATGACAAGCTGTCTTCATTGATGGTAGGACGAACCACTTCAGCTAAAATCACATTTCCTTGGAGCATTTTTGCTGAGAACTACATGGGGTTATCATTATTGGAAGGAATCTCTAAAGGTGTGTTTAAACTGGCAGCATGGGTAGGGAAAGTTGGGAAGGAGACACCTTGTGTGTCATCCGAGATCGAAGCTCCTCTGCTTTGGGTGCTCTATCCCAGTTCTTTCTCTCCTTGCCGGAGCTGTAGCACGGGAATGAATTCAGATTCTTTGCTGTTTTGGACATGACCTACACTGTTAACGGGAGCAGTGCTTGCACAAAGACGACAACTTTTGCTTCTGAAAGCTGATAGCCCGCATCCTGTCTCCCCAGTTTTAAAAATGACTTATTTCTTAAGCTTCAGCTTCCCTAATGCCATTTCCAAAGTTCGCTGGCGGGGAGCGCGTAGCGGCTTTCCCGGCCGCTGGAGCTGCCAGGGAGCTGTCCAGCACCGCGCCGGGACTGCCGGCGGCCGCGCCGGGGCCGGGGCTGCAGCCACGGGAGGGCCCCGGCAGGGTCCCCGGTCCCCGTGCTGGCACGGCCGCTCCCCGCAGAGCCGTGCGGGGCTACCGGGCCACCTCCCCGGTCCCCGCAGCCCCGCTCCAAGGCGCCGGGCGCAGAGCGGAGCGCCCTTGCCGCCCTCCCGGCAGCGCGGGCTGCGCGCCGGCCCTGCCCTCGGCCCGCCCCGCTCCGCCGGGCGCCGGAGCATCTCCCCGGAGCGGGGCAGCGGGGCCGGCGGGGCCGCGGAGAGAGGGGCCGGGCGCGACAGGCGGCGAGCGGGGCGGGGGAGGCGGGAGGAGGAGGAGGAGGAGGAGGAGGGGGAAAGGGCTCCAAACAACACGTGATCCCCGCGGAGCAGCGAGGGAGCCGGGGGAGGGGAGAGCGGGGCGGGCGGCCGAGGCAGAGGAGGGCAGCAGCCACCGCGGTTGCCTCCGCCGCCGCTTTAAAGGCTCCCGGCGCGGCGCGGCAGCCGCGCTCCCGGCCCGGCGCGCAGAGCCGCCGAGCGGGGCAGAGCCGCGATCTGCACCGGCCCCGGCCCCGGCGCGGCGGCTCCGCCGCTGCCTCCCGCCCGCCCAGGGGCACCCGCGGCCATGCGAGGCGGCCGCCCCCGCGCCCGCCCCGCTCGGCGCTGCCCGCCGCGGCTGCCCGCCGCCCCGCGCTGAGCCCGCCGCCGCCCCGCGCCCGGCCCGCGGCACCATGTCCCGCCGCAAGATCTCGTCAGAGTCCTTCAGCTCGCTGGGCTCGGACTGCCCGGAGACGAGTCCCGAGGAGGAGGGCGAGTGTCCCCTGTCCCGCCTCTGCTGGAACGGCAGCCGCAGCCCCCCCGGCCCCGCCGACACCCCCTTCGCCGCCGCCGCCGCCGCGGCCAGCGCCGGGGCGCGCCGCGCTCCGCGCCGCCGGCGGGTCAACCTGGACTCGCTGGGCGAGAGCATCCGCCGGCTGACGGCCCCCGCGGTGAGTGCCCGTGCCCGCTCCTCGCTCCCCCGCGCCCGGCACAGCCCCGCCGCTGCCCGGCGGTCGGGTCCCTGTCGGGAAGGAGGCGGCGGTGCCCGCGCCCCCCTCCCGGGTGGTCCCGCGGGGTCGCTGGAGCTCGCCGCCTCTCCATGCCCGCTCCGGCTGCCCGCTGCCAGCCCCGCAAACCTGCGGGAGTACGGCTCCCGGCAGCCCGGTGCTGGAAATCGGGTCGGGAGTCAGGCTTAGGCGCAGCTGCCGCTTTGGCTGGCTTTATCATTTCAGGCGACTCCCTTTCTGAATGAAAACAAAGTCAAAAAGTGCTTATCACTGGTACTAGCAACGTTTTTTTGTTTTTGTTTTTGTTTTTTTTTTTAATATATGAAAAGTTACATCTGTATGATGCATGGCGTGCACATTGTTCCTGAACAATGAGGGGATGTGAACTTCTTGCATCTGTAGGGCTTCTCTGTACTGAATAGGGTAAAGCAAAGTTCTGGCTATGCGTTCGGAAATATTTCAGCAACAGATTTCCTTGTGTCTCCTGGATGCGCAGACATTCCTAACAGATCAGTTTCTTTAAAGTAGACTTTGAGATCTTTGAAAGATTGGATAGCTGCACCTGTATTTGAGAGTCAAGGACCCATTGTTTGTACGCTATTAACATCAGAATTGAATTCATGTAGAACCTGTATCACGCTGGTATAATTTCATAAGACTGAAATCACTGTCTCAGGAGTTCTCGTAGATTAGTGTAAAAAAGAAGGTTTTTTTCCAGCCTTTTTGTTTTGATCGTGCTATGCTCCTGTACACACATCTGTGATCACTGTTAAAATTTCCTCCTAAAGTTTCAGCTACTGAATGTTTGTTTGGTCTCTGAGATAGTTTAATGTATTAAAGCATAAAACATTAATGGCAACAAGTAGTCTTAATCTGCAGGACAATGTATCTGCTAATGTGGCATCAGATCATCTCTTTTCATATTATTAGGCAGCTCTGGAAATTCCTTATGAGTCTCATCACAATCAGCTCTCAGTTTGCATTGGTTTTAATATACTCTTTCTGTTTGGAATTAAAGTGCTGGACAGGAGTAGACGAGCTGTTTAAAGGGAGAAGTTATAGTGCATTAAATAGCTAATAGTCATCCGGTTGCAGTTAAGACTTTTCTTCCCCATTGATTTTTTCCCTCTCCACTGGGAATCTGGTCTTGTAATGCTGATATTAATACATGATATTTCAGGTGACCTGTCTTGTTTTAGTATATTAAAAAAAGGAGAAGCGATTTAATTTGATAGTAATGCAATGATGTATAATTAGAGCATATGTTACCCCAAATATTTGAAGTATTCAGAAGTAGTTCAGTGCAGTATTTTGAGATAACCTTAGTATTTGTGTTTTCTAAGCTTTGTTATCTCCTATATTATGTTGCTATAAAAGACAATTATAGTTTTACAGATCAGGTGTTGAATTTGTTTTCAAAATAAACACATTCCTTGAATTAAGAATGAATAAAACTGATAGATCCAAGTCCTCTTTCTTCCCAGCTTGCAGAGAAATTTTACGTAAGAATGCAAAAATTTCATCTAACTTGGTTTTGATGTCCCAAACAACAGCTTTCATGGTTTCCCTGGGAGGTAATTATAGCAACCCTTGTTGCCAAAAAATAGGTTATTTAAAAATTTAAAATGTGATACACATTATTTAAAATTTCCCTTTTTATCTTGGCATCGTAACTACAGCTTCATTCCCATCTTTGGCCGAAATTAATGTCATTAAATCAAAGAAGTCTTGTTGTCCTAGTCTTGGTTTAAGAAAAGAACCAGGTCCTCTGCCTTTTCATTTTTCATCCAGAGAAACCACTGTTGAGATGTTTTGTTATTTTGGCTCTTTCTTACTGAGTTCCGTGGTACTGAATATATCCCTTCATACAACAAGTCAAGTTGCCATATGTCTAACACTTCGGATCTGATTATTTTTTCACATCTACTGATATAAATCAGGAATAACTTTAATTAGAAGTAAAAAACCCACTTTGCCTATAAAATTGATTTAATAAGACTCATTTATGTTGTTTGTTAAATTAGCAGGCAAGTCTGAAGGGAGCACTGACAGATGTTCTTTCCAAACAAAAAGCTCCAATACTTTTTTATAGATGTAGATAGATCTTAATTCCATAATACTATAGATAGGGGTCTCTGTTAAGTATATAAACATATTTATTTATGTACAGATGCATATATTATATATCTAGCCTGCAAGGTTTAATGCTGTCTCTTCAAACATGAATGCAGCAGTTATTTGTCCTCATCCCAACTTTCAGAGTTGAAGGATGCTACAGGTTCCTGATGTTTATATTTAGCCGTAGTTTTTTGTGCTTTCCTTCAACAATGACTAAGAATGGAGTACACAGTAAAATATCGTTTTGTGTTTTCACTGAAGAAAAATTCTGTGTGTGTATTTAATACTATTGTACCTTGCAGCAAGTTCTCAGTGGTAGCAGGAGCTACTGAGAGCTGCTCTGGGCATGTGGAGAGTTCTGAGCAGAGGATGAAGGAGCATCCAAGGGGCAGAAATGCATTGGGCACCCAAGAGGGGTGTCTATAGGGCAGAGCAGCAAGAAGGCTGTGCAAACAGGCGAAGTCTTAGGGATTGGCGTGCAAAAATATATATGAAATGTATCTCCTGTGCAATTCATTCATGAGTTAGTACAGCTGTGCTTCCCATTGTAGGAGATTCTACGTACAATGTAGATTGTAGGAGTAATGAAGCATTCAAGATATATTACACTAAAATATAGCAAATATAAGTTACTGCATTTTTTTATCACTTGTAATCTTGGTCTCAGTTTTTAGCTGAGTATTACTTTGCACAAACATTTCTTTTTGTAGAACTGTGGGAAAATATCAAGAAGTGAACCTTGCTGTGTTGCAGCACTGAATCCACCCCATTCTCCTTGTTCCTGGAGAGCAACAGTTTCTAGCACTCTCCAGCAGACATGATGTTCCACCTTCTCTCTTATATTTATTATTGGAGATTTTTCTCCAGAAACCAGAGGATGTAGGGACATGATTCTCAATCAGCACGGGTTCATTTTATGTTCCTGTGGGTTTGTAAATGTTTCCTGACATGCCTGGATGGGTGAAGGATTGCTACTGCTCATCTGGAATGTGCTCACTGCAAACTCTCTCTTTTTTGAGTGCCAGAACAAGAAGGATGGTAGGGCTCACCTCCCACCAAAACAGCTGTGTATTTTGGGGAAAAAGTGTGTGGTGATGAGACCTCCATCCACATCCCGCCGTTGGCATTTGTGACGGCTGTGCTGGGGAAGCAGGGTGCCCTGGGCAGGGAGGCAGAGCAGCAGCAATGCAAGGAGAGGCAGCTCTTCTGTCACAGCTGCACTCAGCAGACTGACTGTGCAGGTACTGAACATCTCATCAAGCTGCTGCCCTGCTGCCTGCCCCAGCACCAGTTTGCTGTGTAGCCAAGTGCCCTGACATCAGACGGGTGGAGGCACAGCCCAGCACTGCAGCCCGTGGGGCTGGGGAGCTGTGCTCAGCACCCGAGCGTGAAGGGGATGGTTGGTGAAAATGATGATTGGTGAAGATGATGGTTGGTGAAAATGATGGTTGGTAAAGATGATGGTTGGTGAAAATTATGGTTGGTGGGATCAAACTTAGTGCAATAAACCCCAGGCTTTGCACACAGCTCTTGTGGCTCCATCGGCTCGTGAGATCCTGGCAACAGTGCTCCCTGCATATTGCCCCATGACTGTCTCTGCCCTCTCACAGCCTTTGATCCCTGTGGTGTTCCCACAGGGCTGAGTAATTGTGAAGGCAGCTCCTACCCGTTCTAACATGTTCCTAAATCATGTTCCTGACACAACACAGATGTCCCTCTGTCCTCCTTCATCTGAACCGCTGTTGAATGGTCTTTGGTTATGCACTCTATCTGTAGCCAGATCCAGCTGCTCTCAAAACAAACAAGTTGTCCTTGTCACCAGGCTGGGTTCAGTTTATTGGAGATAAATAATAAAATGTTGAGAAGTTAATTGATTTATGACCTTGTTTTTAAGAAATAACTCAGTAATTATATGCACATCACAAGCAAATTTAATGATACATTCTCCTTTTGATTCCACTTTGTTATCGTGTTCCATTTTAAAGGATGAATTTGACACCCACAAAGACATAAATTTTGATTGATTATAAGTCGAGAATGTGATACTATATGCTATTCATTATCAAATTAATATTTTCTGCCCTTAAGAGCTCTGCTATAGGGGAATGGTATCCTGGCACCAGTTGGCATAGCTTGATTCTTTAAAAGTGCAGTTTAGTATGCTGAATTCTAGTTCCTTGCAGCAATTTTCACATTTGCTCCAGTTTTAACTTGACTTGTATCCAATACCAGGCTGAAAATAGAATCAAAATCAGAAAACGTAATTTGTCACTGATTTGAAAAGTCAAATACTCTGCTCCCATCTAAGAGTCATAGACTATCCCTAAAGGAGCTGAGAGTGACTGGGCATGCATTCAGAGGAGTCTGTGTACCCCTAAGCACTGCACTGATCTTTCTGAAACACAAATTACAGCATAACACAGCATTAAAATTACATCCATTTGATTTTATTTTCTGAAAGGTCAATGTAACGCATCACTTATAAAACTGTTAAATGAAAATCACTTATATATACTTTTCTGTTCATTTAGAATTATTTCTGCTATTCTTTAAAGGCCCAGTTCAAAACATTATAAAGTAAAAACACTTTTTTCCCCTGTGTTATTTAGGAAGCTACTACTGGCTGCCGCCAAATAGTTTGAATTTAAGAACTGTCTTTTTGAATGCAGTCCTTTCCCTGCCAATGGAAGAAAAGTGAACATAAAGGCAGTCTTTTATCTTAGTGTGTAGGCTATGACTTATGTCACAGAACTACTGTAACTTCAAATTGCTTAATTGCAAGTGAATCCTCCAGTGAGCGGAGGTGGGGTTTTGGCAGAGAAGTT